GGATTAGGATAGCTGGAAACACGTAGTGATGGACGCGGCTGTCATGCGACGTGCAGCCAACGTGATCAACATTATAGACGCGCAGTGAGTGGCTGGGCGAGATTAATGGCAGGGATTAATATCCAGTACAACACTTCACACAACCACCCACCAATCTGAGGACTACAGCTAAGGCAAGAGGAGTAGAAATAGCTCTTAGATGGTGTTATGGGAGGGAGCCTGGTAGTCCTTCTTACGGAAGGGTCATACACGCCGGCGAGGGGGGTTTGTTACAAGGAATTGGACCTGCCTTCTGCTTCCTTGGATCGAACCTGATTGCCTCATTCCCTTCAGGCTCAGTAAACCCCCACGGTTTTCGCGCTCTCCTATGAATGTAATAGAGTATAGTAGTAGCGGAGTGTTCAGGTTTATTTATTCTTACCAGGAAAGGCATAGTTAAACTTGTGTATAATTAAACTCTTGATCACTGGAATTCACCCTCCTTCCTCGAATCAGATTTGATCAACTCCTATTCCTAAGGCGTTGTATAAACAACTAATGTAAAAATAATATATTTACGTTAAGTATATATAAGCAATAGGTTATTACAGTACGTCATTTGTGGGCTATAGTTTACGATTACTACTACTCTGCGGAACTGGCATTAGTTTACATCTTTCAACAACCCATATACTCCACGAATTAAATATTTCTTGTGCACATTGTTATTTTGGGAGATAGCGAAAGTGGTACACTATTTTGGTTACAGAGATGTCTGGGCCAAGTGAACGTTTGGTACTGAGTCACGAGCCTGGCTGTATGTAAACACACTCATCTACTTATAGCTAGTAAGGTTGTTGAGTTAGGTAAAGTTACTTTACCATTTGCACAACAAAAATATTTGTATACCCAGCTTAAAATTGTAATTAATGACCGAAAACCTCCGAGGAGCGTTTGTTATTAACCATCTATTTTAAAGTTTAGTATTCATTGTTAAAGCTATTAATGTGTCATTCTACTATTACAACCTAAGATTTATATAAAAACCTCTCTTAAAGGATTTAAGCTTTGTTTAGTTCGAAATAAAAAAAAAATATAGTATATTAGGTTTTGCCTATAAATACATTTCCCATGAGAAGAATTTACATTTTTTTTTCAAATTTAGCTTATAAATAGTAGGTAACAATGGTGAGAAATTATTATGATTTAACCAAGAATATTCCCCTGAATGGATGAGAGGGGAGGAGGGGGGGGTTCTTGATGCAAATGGAGGGCTACACTCCTTTGCTTTAATCTTTGACTATTCTAGGAATTAAAGTATAATTTATTAAATGGTTATATTTATAACCTTATTTTTTAAAGGGGTGGACCGTCAAGCCAGCGGAAGGCCTCGGCCAAATGATCAAAAGCTCCAGTGGCTTGTCATCATATGACTAAGACCCACGTTAGGAAATACTTGTCCTGTTTCTTGACTAATTTTACCTGTTTCGTGACATTTTACCTAACCTATACTTTATGGTTAGGCACAATTTAGGTATATGGTAGCTTAAATGATTCCGGCAAGTCTTTGTGACTTCAGTTACTTGAAACAAGACGTAGGATAAAAAAAAATATTGAACAAGAACCAAAAAAAAAAAAAAAAAAAAAAAGCCGACTAAACACCCTAGACTAATAATTGATATGGGGAAATTTGCAGGTTGAGATAATTTGTCATTGGGCAAACTTATTGATCTTATGTCATTTTCACTGTGAAATGGGTATTTTTCCGGAGAAAAGGAGCTGCAGCGGTGTATCTAAATAAATCAAGAATGGAATAGAAGCAGAAAAGTAGCAGTAACAAGTGATTAGAATAGAAAATTGAAGTTGAAAACAAGTTGAAATTGTGGATGTAAGTTGACAGATTTTTCATAGATATTCAAGCTACCTTGCCTTTCCTTGGTTCAACCCTGAGTGCCTTTCATTCCCCAGGAACTGTAAATATAAATATAATAATTACACATGTGATTTTTTTCTTACCTGGTCACAAATGTGACAGATTTTACTCCATGTACGTAACTCAAAGCCATTATTATGGCTTTAAATGTCGTACACTGCCACGAATAAATATCATTTTTAATGTACCTAAATTTGGAACATCATTTAATTTTGTTTTCCCTTACGCCAAATATTGAAATAACATATTTTATAAAATACTATCACAAAGGGATGAAAATCTTCACTCCCTGAGGATGGCAACCTTAGAGAGTTCTTAGGATGAGGGCAGCAGGATATATCAAGTAAGGTATCATCGTGTTTTAGTTTATTTTTGTTATGTTTAATTCTGTATAAAAAAAAAAAAAAAGAGAGGACAGCACCAAGAGAAAGAAAATGATAGTCTGATAAATATGGGGGTTCTGTAGAGCGAATTTTAACATTGAAAAGAAGGAAAATTTTGAATTACTAATTACTTATTCTTGGAAGTCTGCATATTTGTAATGCAGTTAGAAGTAAGGGTAACTTTTTTTCCTTTCCCTAGTACCAGTTTTCTGTTTATTTTTTTCTGTGGAATATCTCTTCAGTGGAAAAGGAGAAATGACTAAAATTTTGTGTCATAGTTATGTATCTTGTATACTGTATACTTTTTCAGCTTTTCGTTTGGCAATGATAGGAACTAATTACTTGTGTGTATTTTGTATTTGGGTTTGTCTGATTTACTTAATATCTCGGTATTTTTTTTTTTCAGCATGTGTGATCCGCATGTATGCGGACCACACATGCTATAGAAGAGATAAATGACAATAATTGAAAAGGAGGTTAAATAAAAATTTATCACATAGCAAACATTTATTCAATATATACATTTATATATGATGAAAATGTGAGCTCATTCAGTGGGAAGAATGATAATATTGACGTGAGTTAACCTCATAATTATGTCAGGCTACTGTAAATACTGCTCCAAGATGGTTATCGGCCATCACAGATATGTTTTCTTTAAATCATTTTCGTTATTGAAAACGTCTACTGATATATGTTCATCAAACCGGTAAAAACTTAATTTCGGTATGAACCCTTAATTTTGGAAATGTATAATGTTTGAGTTTTGAAATCTGAGAAGCGGCGATAATTTGATTTGCACCGTAGGCCAGATGGAGGCTTCGTCGTACCAAATGAGACAGGATAAAAAATAGGTAATTTTGTTATAAATTTAAATTGTAATCGGAGACCAAAATAGTGATGTAAGTTAAGTCGAGAATAACAATTGTTTCAAATTATGTTCACAAATGATTATCTACTGCAGAGATGTAATGTGACCCAACTCTGTTTCACATCTGGCAAGATGGAATAATTATTTTTGTATGTACATTCCTCGACTTTGTAAAACAGTCGTGTGTAGAGGGTTCCTTCTTTCTAACAGCTAAGAGTATTGGAGCCGGCTTTCCTACTGAAACAATATTGTGATAGACCTAATCATACCAGTGGCTTATTCGCTGAACTGGAGTTTTACGATTCACTCGCCACGAGTTTAAGCCCCGCTCGTGGTATGGTTTGTTTGCAATCGTGTCATTACGATTTCGTAAGTCTTGTGGTAGACCTTACAACAGGTTCCTAAACTAGCATGTGCTCAATACTCCTGTGTCAGTTATTAATATTACTCATTATTCCCTAGCACACGTCTCTATACAAACTTAGATTTCACAGTATAATGACTAGCTTTTTAAAAAATCAAAATACTAAGCAAAATAGAGCTCAGTGCTTTTTTTTTCAATACCCTTCTACACATGAGACCCAAGTTAGATTTAATTTTGTATTTTTATTGCTTAAACAGGGAGTATAGTTTTAACAGACCTTGAATTTGTAAATTAGACATTACACGTTAAGTAAAGTACTCAGCAAAGTATTTAGGCATATACTATCTTATGTAGGAAAATTATCAACTTTTCTATTAAATGTGCTGATTGGAGATACTATTCATCCTTAGTATCTCTCACCGTACCTGGTCTGATTACTGCTTTTTCAGTAGGAACAGTAATTCATAGTAGAATATAAAAAAATCGTAGAATTGTTTCTGCAGCAGAAGTGTTAATCTTATCAGAACAGTCTGTTTGCTCTTTTCTTAGTCGATTACCTCAATTAAATTTTTCAAGTAATGTTAACATTGTTCTTATAGCATTCTCAAAATAATATAGAATACACCACGTGACATTGCAGTGAGTGAATTACTTTGAGGACGGGTCACCTGGTGTATAATTTTGATATTAGTGATATAACAGCATGCCCCTAATGGTTATTTATATATTATATTCATGTAATGTGAAATGGTTATTAATTTACAATCAATTTTGAATAAATTAATTATTATTAGTAGGATTATTTTAATTGTATTTAAAGTGTCAGTATCATTGCTTATCTGATTTAGTGGTTTATTCGTCAGGAAATACTAGTGACTCATGACACACATCTTAATCAGATGATGACCCGTTCCGGTGGTTATACATCCACTATCCTACCCCGGCTAGGATTTACACCTCATTTCAAGCAAAGGATCACTACCCTTACAGGTAGTCTAGGTGGTTATTCGTCAAGAAACAGGACAGTTATGTACATGAATATAATATAGTGTAATTTGTAAATTTAGCTAATGACTGCATTTATAAATGTACAAAAAATTATTATTTTCTGTTCAGAGAAATTAATAGGAAAGATTTGGGGAGAAATGCTTTGTACAGTAGTTTATACTCTATACCCTCTACTTTGCTACTGCTTGTTAAACTCGCCCAGCAATCCAGGGTCCAGGGTTAGTCTCGCCAAGGGGACAGTGCTTGTTTGTAATTCTCGCTGAGGACTGTTGGTTTTTAATTCTCGTTAAGGCGGTAGCGTCAGTTTCCAAATTTGCTTTACGTGGGTTTCTGAAGGATAACACGTCTTCACATGCTAATTGTATCGATAACTAGTTTGTAAATATTCTGCCAGATGATGGAAATACGTCCTATTATATCCCGGTGTGTATAGTAGTGCCTGTAGATCAATGACAGTGTTGACTCGTGAATACTGTTTGTCTATGCACTGTGACTCTGCATCTTGCCCGCATTGGAGACTTGTACACAACCCATTAACTTCTTTTTATGAGACTCACTGTGTCTGTTACACTGTTGTGTTACTAGACCCATTGTATCTTTTACTTTCTGTGTCATGGTGTGTTGGATTTCGTTGTGTATGAAGTGTGGCAAGACTGATAAAAAGATGAACCTCCGTGTTCATTGTATTTTTTATATGCCCTTGTCATTTGTTCCCTAAACTTCATCACTGTAAAGCAACTTGACAAAAGCCACCACTTTTTATTAAGGGTGAAACGCTTCGAGCATTGTCAGTATTTGTTGCTTCCTGTCTTAAGTGATTGGCGGAGGCGCAGATGTACTTTTGAAAACGAGAGGGAATGGTAAAAGAATGGATGGAAGTGGAAACGACGTAGCATAATTGGAATTGAAATAACCTTAGTCCAAGCCCTGTTTCTTCTTTAATCAACTCTTCTCATTTTTTTAGCAGTATCACTCATCATCTAAAGTATCGAGTGCCTTTTGGAACATGCTCAGCAGGGCATCCTTGGAGAGGCCATCTCCATCAGTCTTGTCATGACTGAGTGTGTTACGGTTTGCCCCGCTATCCTTAATGACAGATGCCTCCATGACGTCCAGGGAAGCCACACACTGCTTCAGCAGAGTTATCCTCATCTCTTGCTCTTCGCAGTTCAGATGGTCATACGAGTCATTCGAGGTCTGAGGAAGCTGAGCTGTAGGACTGCGGAGGGTTGACGAACTAGATGGTGTCCAGCTGGATTTGTTAGAAACCAAGCGGAGCTCAGACGGTACTGTTCTGGTAGGGGACGTGTTTTTAAGCGGGGAAATAAAATCCAGGCTACGGAGATCGAGTTTGGGGTATATATAGTCACCAGTATCAGAATGACTCTTCATGATGCTGGCAACCAACTCTTGTCTTGTTTTATCTACATCAGCTGATTTTCCTATTCCTACTGATCTAACTCCTTCACTCAGGGGTGAATTGGGCTTCCTGATGATTGACGTAAACGTCGATGATGGCTTCTCTGCACTACTCCCCAAGCTGCTGGTGCTGGTAGCGGGTAAGGCCGGTTGTTCAGTCAGCTTCCCGTCATACTCTACCTGGCGGTTCATTTCCTCCACCTGGTGAAATATTGTTATTATATTTTAGAGATTATTAAATATTCCACAAAGATTGAGAAAACAAGGTAAGTAAGCGTATTTCTACCTAGCATTGAGGCCATTTTCTATGTGAAGCCTCACTATACAGTACTTATCTCCGGTTTTATTATTTCCACATGTGATCGTTTGTGTTATTAACCAGTGCTTATTACACTTTCGTGTTTGAATATTTTTTTTAACCTCGTGTAATTTAGGGAGGCCCTTAAGTTTTAACATAATTGAGTTTTGTCGAATGCTGTGATTTGTTTTATAATAATATTAGTATGTTGTGTACAAGTTCATTGTAGTTCTCAAACCTTACAAAGAAGATATTAAGAGCTAAATAAAGCACCATTCATATTTCCCGTTACATGCTCGGAATAAATCTAAAGGGTGATTATTTTCAGGGGTTCTAAAATCGTGGAGGAAAATGCGATTTTTAATTAATCTTTGATGATTGGTTGTAATAGTATATGTAAGCACATATGTTTGCAATTTTTAAATATTAATATAAAAGATCAACCTTGCCAACAGATATGATCATAAAAAAAGGAATGGCCCCCATTATACTCGGTTTTCATCTTAAACATGGTGAGTCATCAAGCCTTCCGTTATAAGTCCACAGGCATATTACATAAACATAGCATTTGCTTGGAGAATACCATTGCAATTACCAACTAAAAAATAATCCATCCACAGATTAGTTAATACAAGTACAAAAAAAATGAGTTTCCAAAGCTGTTCCAGATTTTCGAAAGTATAACTTAACATTGAATGCGATGCATAATTTTATCATTTTAATAATTATATTAGCGTTTAAAGGGAGATTTTTTTCTGGGAGTTATCTGGCAAGGTACTTCCGGAGATCACCTACGAATACCTTCGTAAAGAAAACATTACCTTTAGTATTGACTACGGAAAGATACCATCAAAATGTTAGCCGTACTCTCTAGTTTTATAGTCTCAGTTAATATATATCCACCTTGATCTGCTTTTTGGTGTCCCTGTTGCCTGGATGTAGCTGCTTTGGCACCTCTTAGTCTTTTATATATCTACACTTTGTATCCATCTGTTAGTGCCACTATCTCTTACAGCCATATTGCCTGTCTGTCAATCTGTTAGTACCTGTTGGCTAGCTATCCATAGGTTTGTACCTCTGTCTTGTCTATCGCTGTTGCCTATCGCAGGGTAGCCATACCTCGTGCAGCAGAGAGTTGGCCGTAGCCTGGGCTAGCGTAGCGTGGTCCAGGTGAGCCACCAGACGCCTCCTGAGTGAGGTGGAGGCTCTGTCCAACTGTTCCAGCGCCTCCTTAATCTCCTGCACCTCCTCGCCCTTCTTCCTCGCCCTCACCTGCAAGGACGACGAGCATTATGGTTATCATAGAGATGTCAGTCTGGAATTGACTAACAAAGTTCTGGGAAAAATTTGTAATTGTGAGTTGTCGTTTGTTGTTTTTTTTTTCGATTGTCCCCTTCGTCATTTGTCGTAATAAAAACATTTATAAACATTGTTTTAATTCTATCATTACTCACCGCTGAACATTAGGTGGCATCGTTAGCTCTGGTGTGTAGGTGGGGGCACTTACCTGAAGGGGTGCTCTTGATGCTGTCGCAAACAGCGACACCCTCGTGAAGGAGTGGGGTGATACTGGTACAGGTAACTAACCTGGAGAAGTCCAGTGATCCTGGCGCAGGTGGTGGTGTATGTAGTGAGGGCAGAGGTGAGGACAGCTGTGAGGTGAGTGAGGTGGTGGCCAGCACAGGTCTCCAGCGCCACTGAATCACACTCTTTGCACCACATCTCAGCCTGCTCCTGCAAACATAACCTGTGTAAACATAACCTTATTTACATGCAAATTAATTTGCATCTTCAGACTTCTGTCTCTTTCCACCCGTGTGATCTCACTCTCCATACAATCTCTTACTTATGTTATTCGCAGTGACTCACAATCTCAATATTTCCCCCTCACTATCTTTCAATCTTTCTCCCATATCTCTCATCCAGTGTTCTATACACACACGCTCACTAACTCGTGCTTTATGGAACACTGGAACTAAATGGTCATTCAGCACTGTATTCCTTACAGTGCCATATACGCAATCTGAACAACACATTAAAAATCATTCACACAAGCACCATACACAAATAGTCATACTACGTTAAACTTTCGTTAAATTAATTACTTGACAGTCCCTTAACTCCTTTGATTTCGCGGCAGGTGTTCGAAGAAGCAAGACGCAAACAATTAAAATGTGCCACACTGAGGTAAACAATAAGCTACAAGTTGTGGTTTTTATAATTTTTTTTTTAAATTTTATTTAAAACCAATACAGTTTAACATAAAAATAAAGAAACAGTATGGATCTCAATCAAATTAACTGAAAACGGATTGCACCTATATGCTCGCAAGATATTGCTGCCAAACATACAATAAGAACTTACGGCAAGAACATAGCTAAAAAAAAAAAAAATTTGGCAGTGTGCTTTTTTGACATTAAACTTTTTTAACTAATGGATTATTTTAGCTTGGTGTGATGGTGTTTATTTGTTGTGCAAGTGTTTGTGATAACTATTTTTCTTACATAGTTTTGCGTTGGTTTTTTTGTGTATGCTTCGCATTTTCTTTTATTGCCAAGAGTACCGAGTGATCTCCCAGATCAAAGAGTTCTTCAAATCTGACAACTTCCTTTCTTCCTTGTTCTCTATCTCACCTGTTTCCTTCCTTTCTCTCACCTGGATAGCTCTTTGGGCTTCTTCCTCCCAGACTCGATGAGACTAACGAGATAGAAGTTTTGTGAGAGACCGCTGGGTGGCACCAATGTCACCAGGCGGCACTCAGGACACGACAGCTCTCCCTGGAGGAGGACAGGAGGATTGGTCAGCACTGTTAAGCAGCATATTTATCTCGCGATTAGCGGACGACGGACGAAGGATCGAACCTCCACCACTTTACCCTAAATGATCCAGACGGGTTTACTGTTCTTAGGAGATGCACGTGTGGCACAACTCGTCTTCCCTCATCATCCCTCACCTCCTCATTCTACACTAAGACTTCTCGTTAACTATCAACTAATCTTAACATTGAGGGAAAAAACACACATGAATACATACATTTAGGACACCTTTATTGAAGACGTTTCAGATTTGTGATCTTAACACTTGACATACGAAGAGGAGCCACCTCCACGAGGTGAGTTCTGGATATTTTTGGATGACTCTTAAGTAATCAGTCATAGGAAATTGCTGAAAGCTGCTTACATTGTACATATTGTCTCCGTCTGGTCAACAAAATATACCTATATGTAATCAAATGTGATTGAATTTCATTCTGCAGGCACTGTATGATACATAAGGGTTTAGTGCTTAGTCGGTATTTACTACCTTCTTACTACTGGCTTACTCCTATAAAAAAAAATTTGTAAACTATTCTGCGTATATATATGGATTATTCATCTGTCACTTTTTACCCTTTTTGCCATTTCCCTCTCTATCTTTCCGTCCCTCTCTTCCCCTCTTTTCTTCCTTTCCTCTTTCCCTGCCGTTCTCCCCCTTCCCCTCCCTATAACCACATTCTCACCCTTTCCCGACCACTCCTCTTACCACATCCTTGTTGTTCCTTTCCGTCTTGCCCGGCTGGACCTTTATGAGTTTGGGTAGGCAGACGCGGCAGACACTGTGGTGGCAGGCGAGGAAGAGGGGCTCCCTGCCGCCTTGCCCCTCCACCTGGTAGTCTTCAAGACATACAGGGCAGCTCAGGAGATCTACCAGGTCCTGATGGGGGCTCCGCAGAGGTGAGAGCTTGCGGGTGGTCACAGGAGTCGAGGATGACAGCGGCATGGAGGTTCCCTGTGTGTTAAAGGCCAGGTGCTTAGCACCTATGTTTAAGACCACGTGGAGGGGGGATGTTAAACTTTCATTTTACTTTCTGACAGCGTACAGAACTTTGATCTCTCTCTCTCTCTCTCTTGTGTGTATATATATATATATATATTATATATATATTATATATATATATTATATTTTATATATATATTAATATTAATATATATATATATATATATATTATCGATAGATAAACACACACAACAAACACCAACACCACACACTCCACACACAACACACCACACAAAAGCGTGCGAATGATAAAACTTCAACTTGGTAAATACCAACGCTTTCTTGCCGACTAAACAGTAAATTTAAAATTATTGTAGTTTGCAAAATCTTCTGAAACTACGAGAAAATGTATTTATTTGTTTTTTATTATTAAATTATTGTAAACTTTTCTAAATAATTTAGTTGGATTAGGCTTAAAATAAAATAGTTTTAATAAGGTTAGCTTTTTTAAGGTTTCATTTGGTACATATTTTAAATTTTACATAACATAAAATACTTAAAACGTAGAGAGATTTTTAGAAAAGGACTTATTTTTAAATGGTGCTGAATTGGATACTTCTCTAAAGTTAATTAAACCAAACCACTAGAGTTTTCAAAATTGGCACAAGAAACGAAGTGAAGAAAACCCTTGGATTGTCCTTCCGGACAGTAAACGTAAATAAAACGAACAAGATTTTGGAGCAGTAAGTCATGAACCGATTTCCTCACCGTCGTCATTGAGGAAAGAGTTAATTTGCTAGGGATGGCTCAAAATTCACTGAACTTCAAATACTACATGAATCAATTCCTCGACGAATCGTTGCTGTTTAGCTGAAAATGAGGTCTACCCATATTTGTAAATAAAAATTGTTATTGAAACAAGGTTTCATATTATTTTTCTATTATTTATGTAGTTTGAAATATAATAGATATATATATTAAAATTTTTTATATAATTTTGTCATAGGTCCGAATATGTAAACCGTCAGTAGCAAGAATCATTTAAATAAGTTTTCTCTATTTCTTATAAGTTAAAGATATATTTTTTTTCATTAATGTTGACGTAAAAATTTTATAATTTGGCACCAAAAGGAACTTAGAAAACTTACCTAACCTTATTATAACAAGAACAAATTATTTTAAGCCAAACCCCAAAAACTAAAAATATTTAGTTTTTGTTTACAGAAAATTTTAAATTTACTAACAACAGTGAAATATATTTTTCGATAGGTTCGAATGATTTTGGCGAAATTATTGCATACACAAAATTTTCACTTGTCCTACATGTTAAGTTTGAGCGTTGTTATTTAAGCCAAGATCGCAATTTGCCTATTCGGACGACATATAAATATATAATATATATATAATATATATATAAATATATATAATATATATATATAAAATATAATATAAAAATAAAAAATATATATATATATATGCAAAACAACCACTCTGAAATAAAAGAAATTCCAAGCGCTTTCGTGACTACTCACATTATCAAGGAACTATGAAAGTAAAGCATCCAAGGAAGCTATATAAGGGGTCTGGCCAGCACCTCACTATCAGATCCCACAACGGTTAAACACGTGACGCGCGGCGACCCAACTTGGATTCAAATTCAAATTCAAAGTTTATTCTCTATAAGGATTACAATGCTGAGTTTACAGAAATTTGGTTATTGTGTGGTTTACATGCAGTAAAATTGTGATTACAGAGTGTACCACTAGAACGCTTAGCATGGCTAGGCATTTCGGGCATACTTAGTTTTATTCTTAATTGTAAAATATTACAAATTATGAGGTAAGTTGGTATTATGGCTAAGTGACTAAATACTAGTTTGTAAGTTTAGCAATGTGAATGCTTTTGTTTTGGCACTTTTTCATAGTTTCAGTATTGGAGTATCACAGGATTCATTATTTTAAGATTGAGATTAATATTTCTGTTTATGGTCAAATGAGTGAGTGATGTAAGTGTGAACCACCAGGTGGTATTCTGTAGTTAGTTGACGGGGTGGTTCAGGGAGATAAGATGTTTTCTAATGGGAGTTTTGAAGGTGAGAATGTTCTGCAGTTCTAGAGTTCTCAGGTAGGGTATTCCAATTTTAGGGCCTTTGACAACATTGAAATTTTGTAAAGGTTTAGTCGGGCACGGGGAATGTCGTAGAGATGTTTGTGTCTGGTGTTATCCTGTGAGTTTTTGTCACAACTATCAAGAAGCGTTTTAGGTCAAGGTTTATATTAGAGTTTAAAAGGGCCCCGTAGATGTAGATTGCACAGTAGTAAGTGTGGATTTCTGAACTGGGAGCAAGTTTAGGTCTATGAAGAGTGGGGGGTGTGTTTTCCAGGGATGGGATTTAGTGATTATTCTTACTGCAGCTTTTTGTTGGGTATTAATTTGGGTTTAGGTGTGTTGCTGCAGTTGATCCCCAAGCACAAATAGCATAGGTGAGGTATGGATAAATAAGTGAGTGGTATAAATGTGAGAAGGGCATTTTGCGGCCACGTAGTATCGTATCTTGGAGAGGATCCCAACCCTTTTGGATACTTTTTGGTATATGCTGGATATGGTTGCTGAAATCATTGTTGTCAAGGTATAAGCCTAGGAATTTGCCCCCCATTATTTCTGGTAATTAGAAGGTTGTCAATTTTAATGTTAATTTGTGCATCTCCTGCTCTGCTAACCAAAATAATATAGTAGTTTTGTCAGTGTTAAGGTAAAGTTTATTGTGTCATCAAGTCATATTTTAATCAGCTCCTTCATATCAAATGGTGTTGGGGTGGCCAAGATTGGGTGAGAGATGATAGGTCCTTTGCACAATCACCCACAAACTATTCTTACCAAGAAATTTTAAAAATTAATTTTCAGTGTATTATTAAATTCTTCCAATCTATTAATTATAAATGGATCTAATTATATAAACCAAAGGAAATATTAATTATTGTCAAAAATGCTTTTTAATGAAACAAGATTCAATTATATTCGTCAAACCCTGGACTTGCTTGATACTACTTTCCAACTTTTTGAAAAATTGGAGGTTTTAAATTTCTTACATGATAAATAGAGCATTGGAATCTTGTCCAGTTCAAATGCTATATTTAGTTGTTTTAATCTAGTTCGAGATTTTTAACAGTTTGACCGTAATAAACTTATCGCAAATTTTACAAGGAATCTTATAGAAAACATCATCCATCTATAAGATTCCTTGTAAATTTCGATAAATTTATTACGGGCAAACTGGTTAAAAAATCTCGAAAATAAGATTAAAAAACATAAAATATAGCATTAAAAACTGGAACAAAATCCAATGCTCTTTATTCATGTAAGAGATTTAACCATCCAATTGATTTCAAAAAGTTGAAAAGTATATCAAGCAAGCCATGGTCGCAGGAATTATAATTGATCTTTTTTCATAAAAACAGTTTGACAATAATAGGAATATTTCCTTTGGTTTTTATAAATTAGATCCATTTAAATTAATAATTGGAAGAAATTTTAAAAATCTGGTAAATAATATTTTTAAATTTTTGGGGAGAATAGTTGTGGGTGAGTTGTGCAAAGGACCCACCAAGTTTGGGGCGCCGCCGTCACTTTTTAAACCCTTGTGGGATCTGATAGTGAGGGGGTGGCCGACCCCTTTTATGCTTCCTTGGATGCTTTTTCTTTCATGTTCCTTGATAATTGAGTATCACGAAAGCGTTTGGGAAATTTTTCTATTTTCGAGTGGTTGTTTTGCATATTTTAAAAAAACCTGTTTTCTGTGATCTTATTGCATATATATATATATATATATATATAATATAAAAATATATATTTTAAAAATATATTTTATATAATATATATATAATCACAACAAGAATTGGGAATTATTTGTGAATTAGTGACGTGAGGGGAAAGACGTACCTTCACTTGGAACTCGTCCCTCTTATCGGTGATATATGGAAAACTCTGTGCTTCCGTGGGTGATCTCAGCTTTTGAAACATTGCTCGTGGCCTAAGTGTCAGCCACGGCCGGTGAGTGTTAGAGTGCGTCCGAAGGTGGGAGGATTTAGCAGTTTTGGTAGACAACTGATGGTGAAGTGTCTTCGATGTTTTAGTGTGCTGAGGATGTGATTTTGTTGCCCGGAGGTGATTGTGGGTTGTGACCGAGTCGGTTTTCTGGTGGTGCTGGCTGTGGGCCGGTTTGACTGGTGTCTTGCCAGGTTTAGATGACAGTGAGTTGTTTACTATGCGGCGGTGGGATCTTGATCCTAAGTGGTAATTCATAAGTGGTGATCTCCCGACAGATCTCTTTAGATCATGTCGGGTTTTGGCTCACTGTTCGTACTATGCTTGCGAGGATTTGTGATAGTCAAGGGATGACTGTACCTAACAAAAGAGAGCGTGAAATTTTATAAAGAATTTAGAGGTATTTTATGTTTACTTCAGTATATGTCGTTTTTGAAGTAGATTTTATTACAGGTAATATTTGTTAAAGTTAAGTGGACTAAATGATGAGTTACCTCGAGTAATTTGGTTAATGCAGGTAGGTATTTCCTTGGCAAAGGAATTCTTAATTTGATTCTTCAGAACTCGATGCTTTCTTGACGTTAAGAAATCAGCGGCGACGTTCCCTATGGAATACAAAATAAGATACATTATTAATCTCCACTGGTTGTAGAGCTTATTATTTCTTGTATCCCATGACACTGTTCTGCAAATGTTTGAGATGAAACTGTTTCAAGGATTCTTTCCGAATGTCTTTGTTTACAACTTACACACACGAAAGAAAGGAAACAGAAATGAGGCACTAAACTACAGACCTGTGTCTCTGACATGTATTGTGTGCAAAGTCATGGAGAAGATTATCAGGAGGAGAGTGGTGGAACACCTGGAACGGAACGATATTATAAATGAAAACCAGCATGGGTTCATGGAAGGCAAATCCTGTGTCGCAAACCTTCTGGAGTTTCATGACAAGGTAACAGAAGCAAGACACGAGAGAGAGGGGTGGGTTGATTGCGTTTTCCTAGACTGCAGGAAGGCCTTTGACACAGTTCCCCACAAGAGATTAGTGCAGAAGCTGGAGGATCAGGCGCACATAACAGGGAGGGCACTGCAATGGATCAGGGAATACCTGACAGGGAGGAACAACGAGTCATGGTACGTGAAGAGGTATCACAGTGGGCGCCCCGTGACGAGCGGGGTCCCACAGGGTCAGTTCTAGGCCCCGTGCTATTTTGATATATGCGAACGACATGATGGAAGGAATAGACTCTGAAGTGTCCCTATTCGCAGATGATGTGAAGTTGATGAGAAGAATTAAATCGGATGAGGATGAGGCAGGACTGCAAAGAGACCTGGACAGGCTGGACATGTGGTCCAGAGACTGGCTTCTCGAATTCAACCCTGCCAAATGCAAAGTCATGAAGATTGGGGAGGGGCAAAGAAGACCGCAGACAGAGTATAGGCTAGGTGGACAAAGACTACAGACCTCACTCAGGGAGAAAGACCTTGGGGTGACCATAATACCGAGCACGTCACCGGAGGCACACATCAACTAAATAACTGCTGCAGCATACGGGCGCCTGGCAAACCTGAGAATAGCGTTCCGATACCTTAATAAGGAATCGTTCAAGACACTGTACACTGTATGTTAGGCCCATACTGGAGTATGCAGCACCAGTTTGGAACCCACACCTGGTCAAGCACGTCAAGAAGTTAGAGAAAGTACAAAGGTTTGCAACAAGGCTATTCCCAGAGCTCAGGGGATTGTCGTACGAGGAAAGGTTGAGGGAAATTGGACTGACGACACTGGAGGACAGAAGGGTCAGGGGAGACATGATAACGACATACAAGATACTGCGGGGAATAGACAAGGTGGACAGAGATAGGATGTTCCAGAGAGGGGACACAGAAACAAGGGGTCACAACTGGAAGCTGAAGACTCATACGAGTCACAGGGACGTTAGAAAGTATTTCTTCAGTCATAGAGTCGTCAGGAAGTGGAATAGCCTAGCAAGTGAAGTAGTGGAGGCAGGAACCATACATAGTTTTAAGAAGAGGTATGACAAAGCTCAGGCAGCAGAGAGGGAGAGGACCTAGTAGCGATCAGTGAAGAGGCAGGGCCAGGGGCTGAGTCTCGACCCCTGAAACCACAATTAGGTGAGTATACACACACACACACAGGCGATGGGGCCGAATAACATCTCGCCATGGGTCCTAAGAGAGGGAGCAGAAGCGCTGTGTATACCGCTAACAGCAATATTCAACACATCTATCGTAACAGGGCGACTACCTGAGGTATGGAAGACAGCAAATGTAGTCCCAATTTTTAAAAAAGGAGACAGACACAAAACATTAAACTACAGACCAGTGTCACTGACATGTATAGTATGCACTGTCATGGAGAAGATTATCAGGAGAAGAGTGGTGGAACACCTAGAAAGGAATGAGTTTATCAACGACAACCAACACAGTTTCAGGGACGGGAAATCCTGTGACAGAAACCTACTGGAGTTCTATGACAGTAAGACGAGAGAGAGAGAGAGAGAGGGGTGGGTAGATAGCATTTTCTTGGACTGTATGAAGGCACTTGACACAGTTCCCCACAAGAGATTAGTGCAAAAGCTGGAGGACAAGGCAAGGATAACAGAGAAGGCACCACAATGGATCAGGGAATATCTGTCAGGAAGACAACAGTGAGTCATGGTACTTGGCGAGGTGTCAGAGTGGGCGCCTGTGACGAGTGGAGTTCCACAGGAGTCAGTCCTAGGACCGGTGCTGTTTCTGGTATTTGTGAATGACATGACGGAAGGAATAGACTCCAAAGTGTTCCTGTTTGCAGATGATGTGAAGTTGATGATAAGAATCCAGTCGGACGAGGACCAGGCAGAACTACAAAGGGATCTGGACAGGCTGCAGGCCTGCCTCAGCAACTGGTTCAACTCTACTAAGTGCAAAGTCATGAAGATAGGGGAAGGGCAAAGAAGACCACAGCCAGAGACTACAAACCTCACCCAAGGAAAAAAGATCTTGGGGTGAATATAACACCGGGCACATCTCCTGAGACGCACATCAACCAAATAACTGCTGCAGCATACGGGCACCTGGCAAACTTAAGAACAACATTCCGATTTCTTAATAAGGAATCGTTCAGGACCCTGAACACTGTGTACGTTAGACCCATATTGGAGTATGCAGCACCAATTTGGAACCCACATCTAGCCAAGCACGTAAGGAAACTAGAGAAAGTGCAAAGGTTTGCAACAAGACTAGTCCCGGAGCTAAGGGGTATGTCCTACGAGGAAAGGTTAAGGGAAATCGACCTGACGACACTGGGAGACAGGAGAGAGAGGGGGGGATATGATAACGACATGTAAAATACTGAACGAAATCGACAAGGTGGACAGACAGAATGTTCCAGAGATGGGACACAGCAACAAGGGGTCCCAGTTGGAAGTTGAAGACTCAGAGGAATCATAGAATATTAGATAGTATTTCTTCAGTCACAGAATTGTCAGGAAGTGGAATAGTCTGGGAAGTGATGTAGTGGAGGCAGGATCCATACATAGCTTTAAGAAGAGGTATGATAAAACCCATGGAGCGGGAAGAGTGACCCAGTGAAGGAGCTAGGCCAGGAGCTGTGACACAACCCTTGCAGCCACAACTAGGCGAGTACACACACACACACACACACACACACACACACACACACACACACACACACAATACACACATATACAATACTATCAACACTAATATATATATATATTTATAAGTAGTACTGGAGGCGGCTGTATGGCTCGGAAGTAACACCTAGGTGTTACTTCCGGTTAGTACTGGAGGCGGCTGTATGGCTCGGAAGTAACACCTAGGTGTTACTTCCGGTCTCTACGAATGGGCGCGGCTGTAGCGTCGGCAATTTCACACCTAGGTGTATGACTTTCTCTCACCGAAAGCTAGCGGCTGAGCGGTCCCTTTTTCACACCTATGTGCTAATGACCTTTTTCACACCTATGTGCTAATGACGTTTTTCACACCTATGTGCTAATGACCTTAACCCCGCCCACGACCCCCGCCCACGAACTTCTGTCCGACACCCTTCAATGATTCTACACCTCTGTTTCTCGCAGAATTTTTCAATGCAATACCATTATTAACATCGTTCAACACATTTTGTCCGTATTGTAATATTCCCGGAGCAAAGGTATTCAATAAGAATGGTATTGCTTTTCTGGCCATCCCACCGAGAAATGACAATAATCCTCCGCCCCTCCCTCTAGCTTTATATAATATGATATCATCTAAACCTCCCCCTTTCACCCTCGAAGTATCAAAGAGTTTCAGGAATGATTCCACTGAAGGAGGGGAGAAACTCGTTCTCATCTTGACGGTTCGTTCAATATTAACTCAACTTGATCATTCACTCTCGTTTTATAGGTCTTAAATGTAGTACACATTACAGTAGAACACTTTCATTATATTGAATTAACCTTCCTTTCTGATCAGCGAGCTTAATACTCACTTGATCAATTATCTTTATATTAAGTGGTTTGTACATTGTGGGATCATAATTAGATCTTAATGTATTAATATCAACTACTCCCAAAAGAGATACCAACTGATCGCCAAAATTAATGGGATCAATCAAATCACTATATATTAACATATAATTAATACCTAATTCAGGATCGGGTGGGTTTACCGCCTTCACACCAGACTCGTTAAAAATAATCTCTTTTTTTATTGGTAAAGACATACAAAATTTCATTACCTGAGAACCCTAGCATATCGCTTCCTTCTTTATCAAATTCCAACCCCACATAGCCGCTAGTAATATCAGAAGGTAGTATAATTTTTTTTTTCAAGTTAATAACCACTCTGTTTATTCCTGGATGATATGTGAACACAATTGAGTTTTTGTGGATGATAATACCCGTTATCTTTTTAACTGCTATTAGCAGATTTACATTAATATCCTCATTTATTGCCTCTAAAATCCTTGTCATATCACCTCCAATAATTTTGCTCATATCAATTTTATGCATATATTTATTTAACTGTAGATTTCTCATATTTAATACATATCTTCAAATTCTTTTGCGGTATATAATGTGTCTTGGGGTAAATTATATTTTTCAGAGCAACCTCATAATCAATTTTATTATCTAATATAATGGGGTCATATAATTTATTAATGAAAGCCGAAGGTGTATTGGCGGGAAATAAATCAAGACTGGAATCACTACAGACGTATAGAAGACGTTCAGCCATCTCCACACTCTTATAACACACTGAGTAAAAAACATATCATCACAGAGTTTATATACTCACCTAATATGTTATCCACGATGTTTCTCTCTCCATACACCGCCTCCTTTATGTAATAATTGTCTTCTCACTTTTGTATTCCTCACAAAATCAAAATGTATACCTGTTATATTTAATAAATGCTTTATTTCTGTTAAGTAATCAGAATCGATTCTTCTCGCTGATTTCACATTGTTTTCTGATAAAACATTTAATATTTCAATAATATTACGTCCAGTAATGGGGGTAAGAAGGTCGCCATTCTCATCTCAACTCACCAAAGGATTTCTTTGCAATAATACCAACATTGATTTCACATATTCTATATTTCTCGCACTCACTCTTATGTGCATGAATCTGGGGTTTTCTGAGGTTTCACCGAGGTGAGAGCAGGTGGGTTGACTTCCCTAACGGGACTAACCTTAATCTTGCGTTTAACACCACGCTTCAAGCATCCACCTCCTCCTTCTAAATTCTCATCACCTCCCGATTTTACTATCTCGAGAGGTTTCCGATTCATAACTGAAGTTGGTACGATATAAAATTCTTTCATGATTTATTAAACAATCTTAAAATAATATCTACTGCTAGAGGTAATATAATACTAAGATTATTTCCACCTCTGATACTCAGGAAATATTTGTTTTTACGCTGAAAACCAATTTTCTTACAAGCTTATGATCTAATCTCGTTCTTGTACTTTTTAAATATTTTAGGGTCTAATGGTATTTTATTCTTGATCAAATTCTTGAAAATCTCACTGATACAACTTATGTGTGTTTTCTTAAACTGTTGTAATAAACTCTTCCGTTGATTGCGTGGGAGACTATTAAGTAATGTAATTAATTCTTTAATTTTTTCTAATAATGATTTTTTCATTGTACCTTCAACAAATCTCCTTCTTTGACCCACGAATTAAAAGTGGAATCATAGCCTTTATAAGATACCAAATAATGCGTAATTCCACCATTTTTTTTTCGTTTCAATACTCTGTCGATAATATATTCTGGAGGTGGTATGGTTGGGGTCAATTCTTCGCGATAAAATGTTCCTTTAATCTTTTCACCTTTCAAATCTTTCAAATGATATGTTGTTATAGGTTGAGAATTATTAATTCTATATATTTTAAATATTTCCTCTGTATTTTGTGTGTGAAACCCTCGGTTAAACGCGGATGATCTGCTAAGAGTCACTCTTGTTGTGTCTCCAACAGCCAATTTCTTACTGATTCGTTTCTTATTGGATCTTCCATTTTTATAATTTATGCGAAACTGATTCCTTATATCATTCAATGTCGTAATACCATGGACTTGCAATGGGGTTTTACCACCAATCCCCGAGTGTGGAGTTGATTATACGCATCTACTAATTCATTTAACACTTTTGAATAATTAAATGTATTGGCACTTGTCATATACTTGTATAATTTACGTTTCAACGTTTGCAAGACTCTCTCTGCAATGGAAGCTTTTGTTTCATTCGAAAATACATGATATAACTTTATATGCTTACTCTGGAGATAATTCTGTACCTGTTTATTTAGAAACTCCCTGCCTTTATCTGTAAATAATCTCGATATATTCTTCGCCTTTTCATTCTCCAATATGTTTTGTAATGCGTGTAAAGTGCTCGGTCCGTCTTTCTTTTTCATGAGTACTGCTTGTAAATATCTTGAAAAAACATCGATACACACGAGAATGTATTTATATCCATCATTATATCTGGATAATTTAGACATATCACCCAAATCACAGATTAATATCACTCTGGGTTTGGGAGCAATTATTTTCCTACGAGGAAACTTCTTAGTTAGAAATATAGTTATAATCTTTCTGAATTTAAGAAATTTCTGACCTCTTTCAAGGTTATGGACGGATCAATCTTTTTTACAGCTGTATATAAACTGTTTACACCAGAGAATGATCCCACAGAACCAGGATCTCTATAAACCTTTTCAATTAATTTTGCTCGCTCCATTGGTATACAGTTTCGTAGGAATCCTGACGTAACACACTGGTTCGCAACTGTAATGCTTCTGGTGTATTTAATGCAAGGTCTATGAATAAATAACCAAAGGGTGATCGATTTATAGCAGATTTATATATATTTACAAATTCTTTATTTTTTCCGAAAACTTGTCGCCCCAGAATCTCTACTTGTCCAAGATCCCTCATTTTAAATAAAGCAAAATGTGTGGCGTTTAAAGCCATGGTACGACTATATCGTCCTCCGTGAAATATATTTTGAGTAATCAGAATAATGCTTATATTATGATGTCTACCTTTAGTAAAACATTCAAGAATAATTTCACTGTTACCAGCTTTTAAAAATAGATCATCAACAATAATTATTGTATTTTCATCGGATGATGCAATGACATTCTGCGGGTCGATAATATCTTTACTTAATGTTAATTTATGAGATATCTCTGAATCTTGTTCTAAGGGTGTGATGTCACCCCGCATATTATAATGTTATGAAATTTCTCATGGTATAACTTTAATAATTTTGATGTGAAATAAGATTTGCCACTATTCGAATAACCGGCAATGATAATCCTTGATGGATAACGAAATATATCAACGTCAGCAGATGTGTATGTTGTCAAGTTCATTGTACTGTCGAGAGAGATTATGTTTACCATAGAGAGGTGACTTGTACACTGTAAGTGTTAATGGGTTTTCAAGATATATAACAGCTAAGTTAATGTGGAGTAACCTCCTGTTGCGGAGCGGGACTGCCTCACCAAAATTAGTTACTTTAGGGTGCCGATTGACACGGATGTTCGGTAAGGAGATACGTAATGACCGTGTGATTTTCTACCTTGGATGTGAACCGCATTTCATGGCGTCTGTCTGACCTGAGTTGATGCAGGTGTTCGGTAAGGAGATGATTATCTTAAATCTACCTTGGGTGTGAACCGCATTACATGGTGTCGTCGGAGGGGGAAGGGGTGTACAAAAATCATGACGCAATACTTTGGGGTGACCCATATAAGGTCAAGGAGTCTCTCAGAGCGAGGATTGTGTTTCCATCCGTCAAGCCGGCTGACCTCATCTTCCAACGCTGAACCGCACATCATGGAGAAAGGTAAGTTGTACTTAGAAAATCTTGATATGTGGTGAAACAGATATTATTTAACATGTTTAATGATATAACGAGGAAAAAATGTTTTGGGTTAATTTTTGTTGTTGGAGCATACGAGTGAAATTTTTACTGGGTTAGTGCGTTAATAAGTGAAATTCTTAACAGAGGATAAGAAAAGAATATACGCGAATTACTTGGAAGCATTAGTGAAGAGGAGATTGTCGATTAGAAGGCGACGATCGTTGGAAATCAAGAAAGGTGGTGTACATCGCAATGAGAGGTTGTTAGAATTGAAGAATGAGTGGGAACGCATAGATGTATTATGGAAGAAGGCTGTAGAAACAGGTATGTATCCAATTGTGATCTTTTGTTGTGAAAAATATTTATCGTAAAAATGAGCTAGTCACTCGAGAAAGATTTTTGTTCCATTCATTAAAATCTTAATTCGTAATATGTAAAAAAAATTGAGAAGGGTGAAAGATTTTGTTCTATTCATTGAAAACTTAATATATAAAAATATTTTGGGGTATGAATTGGATATACTTTTTTCCTCTGCAGGAAATACACCTGGTACTGTTGTGAATCAAACTGAGAGTAATGTTGCACAGCTTGGAGGTATGCCGGGGAATGAAGATGAGAGTGCAGGTAGATCTGCTAGTGTTGGTACCTCACAACGCGGAGATGCGGTGGGAGGTGTGGATACTTCTGTCCCCATTAATGAAGATGATGAGAGAGCAACTACTTCACATGACGTGTCTGACAGTAATGACGCACACATTAGTGGAGGTGAAGATGAGAGTCCAGAAATTATTACATACATCCAGAATTTTAGAGGTAGGCATACAGTGAGGAAATATAGTGTTCCTTCAACTTACAACAGGGAGTTAAGAATGTATTTACATGCTTATAGGGATTATTTTATAGATCAGATGCGAGATATGTATGATAGATCACCTCTAGCAATGTCGCTCAGAATCCACCCAATTATAGTTATAAGGACATTACGTCAAAACATATCGGGTGATGAACAAAATGGACAATTTGTGATAAATTTAGCGTTTGAGTTAGTAAGTGAAGAGGAAATCTCTGAAGTATTTGATCGATGGGTGGGAACGATATTAGAAAGATACGAGACAGAGTTGCAAGATCAGGAAGGATCTGGTTGGATCATAGATCAAATCGAATCTTTCAGTATCGAGTACGTTAAAGTAGAATTCAGAGTACAAGTAGGATCATATGTGGCATATCCCAAGAAACTGCGAGGGAGCCAATATGTATTTAATCCAGTGATTAATGATGGGTTGTGTGTACTGCGTGCTTTTGCTGCCTATCAATGTCATAATAAGAATATGTCATGGAAACATATTCGCAGAGCAGTTAATACTAAGGAAAGATGTCTTAATCATGCAAAATCTTCTGTAGATGATTTCCCCATTACGCGTGATAAGTTAGGTATATTAGAGAAGGAAAATAGTGTCATTATATGTTTATCAATTAAGAAAGGATCAAGGTGGGACATTTATGGCTATGTGTCGTAAGGGGAATAAGAAATATAAGGACATCATGTGTGCGTTATTGTTGAATGAAAGTCATTTGGTTTTAATCAAAGATTTTGACGGGTATGTTAGAACGATAATGAAGGATCGTGATGTAAAGAAGCACTGTCATAGTTGTTTGATGAAGTTGAATACACAGGAAGAGTTAGATATCCACGAAGATGGATGTAAAATCAATCAGATTCTCGTATTCCTCCGGAAGGAACAACAGTACACTTTAAAAATTTTAGTCATACACATTCCAGCGAATATATCGGTGTATTTGATTTCGAATGTGCATTAGACACCACTCTCCCGGCAGGTAAAATTGAGTCTCGTCATAAAGCCATTGCCTATTGTTATATTATATTTGATCGCAAAGGAGAAATAGTGTGTATGAAGAGTTATAAGGGGGAGGATGCTGTTAATCATTTCATTTTAAATGTTAGTGGTGAATGGGATAAAATAAAGTTTAGAAGAGAGTATCATGTAATCCATATGACAGAGGAGGATAAGATGAGACATGATTCTCAGATCACTTGTGAATTATGTAGTAACACCTTCAAAAATGCCCAAGACAAACATAAACATCATGACCACACTTTAAATTTCAATAATTATATTGGAGCCTATTGTGCTCGTTGTAATTTGCAGTGTAAAGATAAGAATGAGAAATTATTACTTTTTTGTCATAACATGTCGTATGATTTAGGAATAATTTTAAAGGAATTGCAGGTTGATAAATATGAAATTAAACTTCATTCGAAACAAGGGTTCAAATTCTTGAAAGTAGACATAGGTAAGGTTAGGTTTCAAGATTCTCTGTCTTTATTGAATGGATCTCTTTCCACGTTAGCAGATCAACATATCAAGGCAGGTAAATCCCTGAAATATACAGAGGCTATTCTGAAAGATGCGCCTCGGGATGTCTTACCTTTATTATGTAAAGGAAAACAAGTTTTGTGCTATGATTATATTGATAGTTTAAAGAAACTCGATGAAACAAAATTACCGAGTAAAGAACATTTTTTTAATTCTTTGAGAAATAGTGCTATTACCCAGGAAGATTATGAACATGCATTGAAAGTGTTTGACTTGGGTAAATGTAAGACTTTAGGAGATTACTTGATGTTATATCTCAAGACAGATGTTGGATTGTTAGCCGATGTCTTCATGGAGTGGCGTAAAATACTCAGATATTTATAAGCTAGACGTTAGTAATTATGTAAGTTTACCATCATTCAGTTGGGATGCATTCCTCTTGAAAACTAATGTGAAATTAGATATGATATATTCCCATGAATTATATGACTTCATTAAAAGGAATCTCAGAGGAGGGTTTACGTGTGCAATTAATCAGTATTCTAAAGCAGATAATCCCTTAATTAACCCTAATTTTGATGATGAGAGTGGAATGGGCACTCATATTTTATATCTAGATTTTAATTCTTTGTATGCTAGTGCGATGGTTGAAGCTCTTCCACAGAATGGTATCAGAAAATTATCGAATGAGGAGAAGAATGCTTTCCTCGATGTGGGATTAAGTAATGTTTCCTGTGAAGGTCAAAAGGGATATTGGATAGAATGTGATACCAAGCACATGTCCCCCGAGGTAGCTAGGCGCACTGATGAACTTCCTTTGATATTATCACACATGAATATATCAGAAGAGATGTTATCTCCTTATTGTGAATCTATATTGAAAAATGAAGGTAGAAAGATCCCCAAATCTAATGCGAAATTAGTGGCCAGTCATTTACCTCAGAAAAATTATTTGATCAGTCTAGATTTGTTACAGTTATTACTGGAACTTGGGTTAGAGGTGGAAAAGGTTCATACCATATATGAATATACTCAGTCAAAATTTTTAGAATCTTTCATAACAACTAATATTGCACAGAGAACAGCTACAAGATGTCCTATCAAGTCAAAAGCCTTCAAATTAACTAATAACGCCATATATGGGAAATCATTGTTGAATATTACAAAGTATGCTGAATATTATAGTTATATCAATAATGAGAAAGCATTTGTTAGAGCGAGTAAAGATCCTTTCTTAAAAAATATCACACATTTGAATCAAGACAGAGTGATTTGTACATTCAACAAAGAGAAATTAGAAGTTAAACAACCACTTTATCTCGGTTTTCAAATTCTTGAGATTGCTAAAAAGAAATTGTATAATTTTTGGTATAAAGTTTTAAAACAACATTATGGTGAAGATGTAAGACTTCTTTATACCGATACTGACTCGTATATTTTTAGCTTGAAATGTAAAGATTTGTACACCGAGTTAAAAAGTGAACCTTTGTTAGGATATATGGATTTTTCAAATTTCAGTCCTGATCATAGTAGATAATAGTAGAAAAGGTGAGCTGGGGTTATTGAAATCTGAAATGTGTGATAAACATATTAGTGAGTTGATAGCACTGAAAGCTAAAATGTATTCTGTCAAGATTGCTGGAAGATCAACTACTGTCAGCAGAGCCAAGGGTATCCCTTCACATTTTATGCCATTATTAACTCATGCAAGATATAAGAATGTTTTATCAAATGTAGATAGAGAATTATTCACGTGTAAGTCTATAAGTAACGTAAAAGGTGAAATATGTACAGTAAGAATTAACAAGAGAGGCTTGTCAGCCTTTGATGATAAAAGGTATTATTTGAATACTAATGAATCCTTGACTTATGGACACCCTGATATTCCACCATCTAAACGTAGGAGAATAGAGTGATTCCCACGTTGTATTACCAGAAATGAAATGGTTGTATAATAAATAAATAATGAAAATATTGTGTATTAGTGTTATCCTGAAATGTGAAATTATTTGGATTATCCTGGGTTAAGAGTGAAAATGTTTTCCTTATGTTGTATATGAAATGTGTAGGGGTAAGTCGACAAGATTCAGCCTGTGTGCGGGGTCATCACGTGACGTCATTGACATAGGGGGAAGTCGACAAGATTCAGCCTGTATGTGTGAGGTCATCACGTGACGTCACTGACCGCCGAGTAAACACACTTTTTAGTTCATTTAACTTTAATGAGAGGAATACTGACGTCACACTTGTTTAGACCTGTAGTAAGAGAAAGTACCATGCCCCATAGGAGAAGTTCATTTGAATGCTTACCCTGAGAGGGGGGGGAATCCAAAAACTTTGATCCGAGGAGATGGAGTCTTTCGTATTATCCAGAAAAAAAAATTCGAAAAAATTTGGGATGGGGGTGAAAGTGGGGGGAATCCAAAAAACTTGATCCGAGGAGATGGAGTCTTGGTATTATCGAGAAAACTTGATCCGAGGAGATGGAGTCTTTCGTATTCAGAAAAAAAAATTCGAAAAAATTTGGGATGGGGGTGAAAGTGGGGGGAATCCAAAAAACTTGATCCGAGGAGATGGAGTCTTGGTATTATCGAGAAAACTTGATCTGAGGAATTGGAGTCATTGTATTATCGAGAAAATGAAATTCGAAAAAAAAATTGGGATGGAGGTGAAAGTGGGAGGGGCAATCCAAAAAACTTGATTCGAGGAGAGTACAATAAATTCAATAAAAATTTGAAATATATATATATATATAATATATATATATATATATATATATATATATATATATATAATATATATATACCAGCTACAGCTGGATGCCCTGCCGAGAGGGAGCCCCGTTCACTAGCAGCCAACAATACCCACAACCCAGCAAACCACCCCGACGGGATCACCATCTATCCTTGGAAGAATGGCAAGCTCTTAGCATGGGACTACACCTGTGTGTCCACACTGACTGACACCTATATACATCACAGTGTAGGGGAGACAGGGAGGAGCTGGTGACCACAGGGAGGAGTACAAGATCAGCAAGTACAGGGACATTAGCCAACAGTATCAATTTGTCCCAGTGAGATCAGAGACCTTGGGATCATGGGGAAAAATGCCACACGTTTCCTTAAACAATTGGGTTCCAGACTCATCGACACCACCAGGAACCCAAGGGCAGCCACTTTCATGTTCCAGCACCTCAGCATAGCCATCTAGAGGGGAAATGCTTGCTGCATACTTGGCTCGCGTCCAGCCTCGGAGGAGCTGGAGGAAATTCATGATCTTTGATACATTGTACCATTGTATTCGTGTTCGTTTTTTTCTGTAAATGTATTCTGTTTATTAATAAATGTTCACATAGAATATAAAATATATAGGGGGTGGTAGGAGAAGAAAATATTCAAACAGCTCCTGGGAGAACCTTGAGTTTTCCCTGAGGTACGTTTGTCTTCTCTGAGGATGAGGGTCCCCATTCCAGCTATAGAGGTGGTACTTCTCTACATTAATATATATATATATATATATATATATATATATATATTATATATATATATATATATATATATATATATAATATTATATTATATATATAATCAATAACACTGCGACTAGCCAAGAACTCGAACCCACAGGACCACCAAATCCTACAAAGAATCACGCACGCAGCTGAGCTAGGTGTTTTGTCTTGATCCGAGGACATACGGTAGTGTGGGTGCGTCTGAGCTAATTTCATTTTACTCCCTGTTTGGTGTACTAGCCTCCAAGAGCAGTAATTTATATATATATATATATATATATATATATATATATATATATATATGTAACCATGAACAAGTGGTATTTAATCAGTAACAACACTGCGACATGGCAAGGACTCGAACCCATGTCGTTTTGGCCCGCCTCATGGTGAATGAAAAATCACATGACACTCTAACCCACAGGACCACCAAATACTACTCGTTCGTGGTTACAATAATATATATACTGCTTGTGGAGGCTAGTACACCCAACTGGGAGTAGAATGAAATTAACTCAGAGGCACCCACACCACTATATGTCCTCGGATCAGGTTAAAACACCTAGCTCAGCTGGGTGCGTGATTCTTTGTAGTATTTGGTGGTCCTGTGGGTTAGAGCGTCATGTGATTTTCGTTCGCCATGAGGCGGGCCAAAACAACATGGGCACGAGTCCTTGGCTAGACACAGTGCTGTTATTAAATACCACTCGTTCGTGGTGTATAATATATATATATATATATATATATATATATATATATATATATATATATATATATATATATATATATATATATATTCAACAAGTCGGCCGTCTCCCACCGAAGCAGGGTGACCCAAAAAAAAGAAAGAAAATCCCCAAAAAGAAAATGCTTTCATCATCATTCAACACTTTCACCACACTCACACATCATCACTGTTTTTGCAGAGGTGCTCAGAATACAACAGCTTAGAAGCATATACGTATAAAAATACACAATATATCCCTCCAAACTGCCAATATCCCAAACTCCTCCTTTGAAGTGCAGGCACTGTACTTCCCATTTCCAGGACTCAAGTCCGACTATATGAAAATAACCGGTTTCCCTGAATCCCTTCACTAAATATTACCCTGCTCACACTCCAACAGATCGTCAGGTCCCAAGTACCATTCGTCTCCATTCACTCCTATCTAACACGCTCACGCACGCTTGCTAGAAGTCCAAGCCCCTTGCCCACAAAACCTCCTTTACCCCCTCTCTCCAACCCTTTCGAGGACGACCCCTACCTCGCCTTCCTTCCCCTATAGATTTATATGCTTTCCATGTCATTCTACTTTGATCCATTCTCTCTAAATGACCAAACCACCTCAACAACCCCTCTTCTGCCCTCTAATACTTTTATTAACTCCACACCTTTTCCTAATTTTCACACTTCGAATTTTCTGCATAATATTTACACCACACATTGCTCTTAGACAGGACATCTCCACTGCCTCCAACCGTCTCCTCGCTGCTGCATTTACCACCCAAGCTTCATACCCATATAAGAGTGATGGTACTACTATACTTTCATACATTCCCTTCTTTGCTTCCATAGATAACGTTTTTTGACTCCACATATACCTCAATGCACCACTCACCTTTTTTCCCTCATCAATTCTATGATTAACCTCATCCATTGTTTTTTAAAACAGTTTGTGACAGAGCCAACTAGGGGAAATAACCTCCTTGACTTGGTTCTTGCCAGTAGGGAAACACTAATAATCTTGAGGTTAATGATGAGCTCGGGGAAAGTGATCACAAATCACTCAGTTTTAATATATCATGGAATTCTCCTAATAATGGCAATCAAGTCTCTGTCCCTGACTTCCGCTTGGCTGATTTCATAGGACTGAAAAATTACTTAGGTGGGCTGAACTGGAATGACCTGACTAAGGGTCAGGTAGGTGGTGATGGTTGCCGATATGACGCTTTGCAGGGCATAGTTCTAGCTGCTCAGTCAAATTATGTTCCAAATAGGGAAATCAGATCAAACAAAAATGATCCTAAATGGATGAACAATAGATTAAAATATCTAATTGGTCAAAAGAGAGGCATATATAGGCAAATCAAAAGAGGGGAGGGGCAAATAAGAAATCGATATATTCAGTTAAAGAGAGAAATAAAAAAAGGAATTAGAAAAGCAGAAAGAGATTATGAGGTTAAAGTTGCAAGAGATTCAAAGACTAACCCAAAAGGATTCTTTCAGGTATACAGAAGTAAGATCAGGGACAAGATAGGCCCACTTAAAAGATCCTCGGGTCAGCTCACTGACAGTGATAAGGAAATGTGTAGAAGTTTTAACACATACTTCCTCTCAGTTTTTACACAGGAGGATACCAGCGATATTCCAGAAATGATAAATTATGTGGAACAGGACGATAATAAACTGTGCACGATTAGGGTCACAAGTGACATTGTCCTTAGGCAAATAGATAAATTAAAACCTAACAAATCCCCAGGCCCTGATGAACTGTATGCAAGGGTTCTAAAGGAATGTAAAGAGGAGCTTAGCAAACCTTTGGCTAATCTTTTCAACATATCACTACAAACTGTCATGGTGCCAGATAAGTGGAAAATGGCAAATGTGATACCTATTTTCAAAGCAGGTGACAGGTCCTTAGCTTCGAAATATAGACCAATAAGCCTAACCTCCATAGTGGGAAAATTTACGGAATCAATAATTGCCGAGGCAGTTCGTAGCCACCTTGAAAAGCATAAATTAATCAACGAATCTCAGCATGGTTTTACAAAGGGGCGTTCCTGCCTTACGAATCTATTAACTTTTTTCACTAAGGTATTTGAGGAGGTAGATCATGGTAATGAATATGATATTGTGTATATGGACTTCAGTAAGGCTTTTGACAGGGTCCCACACCAGAGACTATTGAGGAAAATTAAGGCACATGGAATAGGAGGAGAAATTTTTTCCTGGATAGAGGCATGGTTGACAAATAGGCAGCAGAGTTTGCATAAATGGGGAGAAATCAGTGGGGAAGCGTCACGAGCGGTGTTCCACAGGGGTCAGTGTTGGGCCCCCTGCTGTTCACAATCTACATAAACGACATAGATGATGGCATAAAGAGCGACATCAGCAAGTTTGCCGATGACACCAAAATAGGCCGTCAAATTCATTCTGACGAGGACATTAGAGCACTCCAGGAAGATTTGAGTAGACTGATGCAGTGGTCGGAGAAGTGGCAGATGCAGTTTAATATAGACAAATGCAAAGTTCTAAATGTTGGACAGGACAATAACCATGCCACATATAAACTAAATGTAGATCTTAATACTACGGATTGCAAAAAAGATTTAGGAGTTCTGGTTAGCAGTAATCTGATACCAAGATAACAGTGCATAAGTGTTTGCAATAAAGCTAATAGAATCCTTGGCTTCATATCAAGAAGCATAAATAATAGGAGTCCTCAGGTTGTTCTTCAACTCTACATATCCTTGGTTAGGCCTCATTTAGATTATACTGCACAGTTTTGGTCACCGTATTACAGAATGGATATAAATGCTCTGGAAAATGTGCAAAGGAGGATGACAAAGTTGATCCCATGTTCAGAAACCTTCCCTATGAGGATAGACTAAAGGGGCCCCGAATCTTCACTCTCTAGAAAGAAGTAGAATTAGGGGGATTTTGATTGAGGTGTATAAA